ATATTGTGGGAAGAAGAGGTTCACCCCTTTCAATGAAAATCTCGACCAGACAGTGATTTATCGCGTGTCTATTGAGTTATTTCTCTTATAGAGTTTTACTTGAGACAAAGCTCTTGTACTTTGCTGATCTTCGATAGATTAGAGCTATGTAAGTATTGTTGAAGTCAGCTATATTTAAGGGTTTCTTGAATAATTTTTAAATTCATCGTCAACAAAACATTTTATCGAATTATCTTCACTTTGCGAAATTGAAAATATTTATTCTAAATGGAACATTCGTGAATTTAGGTCATTAAAAAATAGTTAAAGTGTATGGTTTATCTATGGAAGTAGATTTAAGTAGATTTATCTAACGATCACACGAGTCGATCAGCTTTATCATATTTTGCTATACTTTATAGAAGTACGAAAGTTCGCTCAGCGAGGTTACGTATTCTAACAGCAGGCTTGATATGATTAAAAGTTTAACTGGGCGTAATAGCAGCTTCGGTTGTATTCTGTAAGCTTTACATGCAGAGCGAACATTAATTTTGAGACCTACTCCTTGCTGAGACACTATCTTTATACGAGCCAAGATTACAATGTTGTACATGAAGATATGTTCATCTTCCTTCATGTCTCGGAAGTTCACAACATAAAGTTCCCGATGTCATTACTTTTAAAAACTGGTGATTTTTTCGCCTCAACTTTATCGCAAATGTGATAAGACTTTTTTTTACCTGTCGCAAAATATTTGAAATTGTTCTATTTGGAATCAAAATAGATCATTATGGTGCAGGGTACGAAAATAACAATTAGTCAAGTAAATAAGTGGCTTTGCTTGTTGTTCTAGATAACGATCTAAAAGCCCAACTCAATGAGGAGAGGACCAAAGAGACGGCAGCGCAAATATGTAGCTCTAATTCCGAAACTGGCGCAGTCGAGTAGTAAAAACAGTCGTAGTTCCGACGCTGCGTACGGGTGGCTACTGCGAGACCATAAAGAAGCCGAGTAGAAAGCAATAGTAGCCCTGGCGTTTGACAAAATCGGCCATTATGTGAAGTTGGCTCGAGCCACGGCGCTTCCTCGACTCCTTCTTTTCGTTTCTTCGAGTGCGGAAACAGAACGCGATCGTCGCAGAGCGACCCGCTATACCATCGAGCTCGCATGTGTGTTTGTAGGAAAGCCGAAAAACTAGCTGCGAGTCCAAGTGCACAGTATCTGCAGTTCTACTGTAAAATAGATACTTTAATAGCTGCACCACTGGGACTTTCGTCTGTTTAATTGCTATTTCATATTATTCCTTTTTTTTTAATATGGTTTTTTTTCACTTGTATCCATTAAGTGTAATTTAAAAACAAAAAAATATTAATAGAAGACTAGAAAAAGCTTGCTACTGAATTGACGTTATGACACAGGTTCAAACTTTTTAATTCGAGAAATTTATTTTGACATTTTTTGATGAAACATTTTTTGAGCATAAGTAAAGTTTAAAACCTCAATATTTCTGTTTAAATTTTGAATAACAGACGGAGAAGTAGATAGTCTTGCGAATAATTTTACATTTGTGCTACGAGGATTGAATTATAAGGTCTCTCTTTTAATAAAAGCGTTGTCTGATAAGAAGCTGTGCGGCTGGATTAAAAAATCAGCCGGTTTCTTTACAGTAGTAAAATTTCATGAACAAAGAGATTATTCTTTTCTTTTTTCAAGATTTCGAATGAAAGGGTTAGTGTTACTTACGAACTAGACAGAATAAATGGACTAATAAATTTTTACGCCATTTTAATTATGAGACTCTGTAGGTCATTAACTGTACTTAGACATTCCTCGACAATACGAAGAATAGTATTTGTTCTTGTGTATACACATGTTAATGTAAACCATATAACAATGATATACGTGTTGCAATATGGAATAATGTAACTGCATAATTATATGAGTACATGAACTTCACAAGTGTCAACATTGCTGTTGTACTCCTAGACAAAACTTATTGGAAAGTTGCAGTAATGCGTTAGTTGCGACATGTAAATTTATTACTTTCACATGTCTCGGCGAATTGTAATCATAAAATTAAATCTTGAAAAGTATTTATTAGAATTCTATCAAAAATAATAATAAAATTACAGATTTAACAATAAAACAGATTATTCTATCTCTGGATCATGGATCCTAGCCAATATTTTTTGAGATCTCTTGGTATTATTGAAGCCTCCTAAATTTTTAAATATTTAACTGAATTGTAACAATTTTTTTTAACAGAATATGATAAAGATTGTTGCGTTTTATAAGAGAAAACCATTATAGTTTAACTTTGTACAACTTTTTCCTGGAAACACAGCGATTTTTATTATAGGCCTTCTCTCCGTTTACTTGAAGGATTGTTTTCTCGTTACTGGCAGATTGAGAAAAAGAAAAAAGTAGCGCCAAGTATCCAAGAGCAAGCAAAAAAGTATAAGCGACGTGTAAAGGAAGATTGAATGGGGGTCAAATATTAAATTGATATTTTAAATTACTGAATGATTTTATGAATTGGGATTTTGAATAATTTTTGAGTAAGCGCATATTGATTAAAAATATTTCTTGATAACGGTAATAAATTGGAATCCTGATTTTTTTGCACTTTATGTTTTTTTAGGTTCTTATAATTATGATCATACTTGTAAGACTGTAATGGAAATGAAGTTATCTGTGTTTTAAATAAATAATACGCAACATCAATAAATCAAAAGAATAGGGATTATTTTTTCAAGTATATCGTGAAAGTCTCACCCTTGCAGTTAGAGCATTTAAATACTTTTCTAGAATAAAAAAGTTAAACTTTTTTCTTTTGAAAATTTTACCGATTTTTTCACCCGAAGTACGGGCTCTATCAATCGATTTTACGTTTGCACAAAGGAGGTGCCAGAAGGAAACTGGGAAAAGCACTTTAGAGGAGAGAAGTGCACAACCTCTAAGTTTCAGAGATCATCCAGAGTTAACACTAAAGCTACCTCGGATACACGCAGAGACTAGGTCGAACTTTCTTTCGCAGTTACATATTGCAAGAGACGGCAGAAAATAATAACACGACGTGTAGTACCTTTTTACAATTGACTTTGTAAATCTTTGCAAAGCTCAATGACAATCAATGACAACAAAAGCTTAAAAATCAGTCGTAATTTAATACTAGAGCTAAATGATGAATACCTAACATTTTGTTAAATGGAAACGCGATAACCCACTATATTTCAAGTTGCATAATCACTTTACATACGCTAAACCACGCGATGAGTCGTTTCGCAGGTGGAGTACGTGCACTATATAGCGTTTAATTCTAAAACAGTTCAAAACGTACATACAGCGAAGTAGGGGCTCTGCCAATGCTAGCCCGAATACTATTGTTGTTATTTCCGCTTGCTTCCATGCTGGAGCAACCCCTACTATGCTACGTCATTTTTATCATGTACGGTTGGAACTTTTCCAGAATTAAACGCCTTATCGTGTACGTATAGGCGTAAATTACGTATACAACTTTAGTTTCTGCAGGTGTCGTAGCAGAAATGCGATAGTGTACAACTATGTAGATGCGACTCGTTGAATTTCACCTTACAGCGAAGCGACACACCAATACAGGAGGAGCTTTTCATTACACTCACACGATAGACCATGGTGAAGTATATATCGTCAGGCGAGAACGAATATACAAGCGCACAAAGGGTGTGTCGCTTCTAAGCAGTTCCTATTGCGAGAGAGCGAGAGAGCTTGCACGTGCATCACATAATCTAGAGTTGTGGTGAGGCCGCATCGTCGTCATCCTAGATGGATTAGAATTACTCCCTTTCGCATAATCTTTAGTTCTTGCTCAACTATCTTAATGCTATAAATATTAAAGAGCCCTAAGTAAAATTGTTAAGTTCGAATTATTACTAGATGTCATGTGTTAAATTTCTACTTTATTTTCAAACAGAAAATATTTTTTGGGCAAATTCCAGTGGATTGTTAACCACAAATAAAAAATTTCTTTTCAATTAGCTCTTTGAAAATACGAACTTATTTGCAAATGCTTTTATTTCTATCATTTTATTTTATTTATATATAGTTTGTAGTGTCAAATAATGTTCATAATTCAGAATAATGAGAATTATAAATTATCAACTTTTGGATTGGATGCAATTCAACGTTTTTCGAAAATAAAAATTTGGAACTATTATGATGTTCCGTGCTCCTTAGGCACATGATGAATATTTTTAATGTTTTAAGAAAGGTTTTGCTAATACTGAACAGTCAATAAATTCGGATTTGATATACCTTGAGCCAGTTGTTGCGACAAATCTCGAAACACGTAGTTGCTTTTAAAGTAGCTTGTCTAGAGTTTTTAATAAGTGTTGGCTTCTTATCTAGAGGAAACCGACTTCTTGTGGTTGCGACTCGAACTGACGAAAATTAAGGCGAAGCATGTACTATAAGTAAATGTGATATTCAGTATTTATATTTCATTGTGTAGTTCGAGTTTTCACTGCTTTACGTGATTTCTTCGGCTGGAACTTATCCTCTGACTTTTACATCGGCTCCTCACATCCGGTACCTTAGCTTAAACATTGCTAACAGGTTAATATTCAATAAATACCTCAAAAATGTTTGTAATAAGGCCAATCAGATCGCGCCTGAACAAAACTGAACGGAAACTCTGTAGCATAGAAATTTTGCATATTGAAATAAACGTCTCTGAAAAAAAGATTTCAAAAAATTTTGGATCGAGTAGAAGGGAAAATTCGGGTCCCATTTCTTTGTGAAAAATTAGTTGTTAAAAAAATTTTTTTTAATGTTTATTTCGTCAATTTTAGCAAATAAAAATATTTCGTAGGTAATTTATAATAGAATTTATTGAATGAAAAATTATATGAAAAAGAATAATTACATGTATGATATAGAAATATCATTACGGTGCTGTATATCTTACACTTTTTTTCGTTTTCAGAAAATATTCTTCTTTGAAAAATCAGATTAATTATTTTTCATTGATCACGAAAATATTAAATTTCTCACACTCTTTTCGTATTATTATTTTTGTTATTTCAATATGGCTTACGTAAAACTGTCCGCTTGAATATTTCATTTTTATCATAAGACTTCATTGAACATCGAAAAGAAGAACTAAAATACATTTAAATGATTAGTTTAAACTCTAAAAGACGTAACAAAACCTTAAAACTGCTATACTCTGCATCCAACATTTGTAACTTTATCGAACACTCAATTTTCAAAATTTCATTTTGTCAATCACTCTTACATTCGTTCACGATTCACTTCGTAAATAACGTTTTGTAAAAATTCAACAATTATACTTTTATTAACAACTTCTTATCTTTGGATTCGCTCTTAAAATTAATCTTATAATACACAGTTTTCAATCAACTAATTTAATTAAACATAAAAAATTTAACATCGATATAGATGCACTTCTTACTTAATTTACAATATACATTTTTTCAATTAATTCATGCTTAGTAATATTTGGAAATGAAACTCCGTGAGTATTATATACAGTACAAATTTACCGGTAACCGATACTTCTACTCTAGTTATCGAAATGAAAAGATTATTCTAACTTAGCGCAATAAGGTGTAGGCCATGAACTATCTTGGAATGAGTACTTAATGCTGCACCATCCACGGGTAGCATTAAGATTGCAGCAATCCATTGGGTGTTTGGTGGCACGTTGACTACCTCGAGCTTAGGAGAAGCAAAAGGAGGCCAAGTATCGTCAAATCGATGATCCTGTGACTCTGGTTGCATACACTGTCCGACCTGACTGTGGGCCAAGACAAATACGATTGTGAATTTAGTAAAGTTTTGCAAAAGACGCCTTGTAGGGTGCACGTTTACAAAGTTAAATTTGGAACGCGACGATAAATCGTGAGATGGTCGAAGCTGACTATGAAAGCGACTTAATCAGCTGGCGGTAGCGAGGCCGAGTGCAGTTAGCAAAGGACTCGAGACTCTAGTAGGGTTGTAAGACGTCGTCGTCGTCGATGGCTGTATCTGAGCTATTGCCATTCTCGCGCCGGCTCGTTGGCAACAGTCATTAAAGAGGCTGAGCAAAAGTCGATAAGCCGCTTAGAGTAGCTTCCGGCGCGCTATGATGGCCCGTCCGTCTCTTGCATCTCGCCCGAAACTTGCATCTCGCTCATGCGAGCGACTGCCTCGTGTATAGTTTGGAGCTTTGGAAGCTTGGAGGCGTCTCGCGAAACGATATCGTCGACGATCGGAATCGAGGACGAGCTGGAAAAATATTTTTTCAGCCAAACGGACTCACCTCGTTCGGGCACGGGTTCCCAAGGACTGGCGCCCAACTGAAGCTCGCTCCACTGCTCGTAGACGCCGGCGATCTTGACGACGCAGCGCAGACTCAACAGGCCACTCCGATAGTGGAAGGTCTGCAGGGGGATGCTCAGCTCGATGGCTTGGCTCGTTTCGGCGGGGTACCTGTGCAGCTGCTGGACTCGATCGGTCGTTCCCACGGACCTGGCCATCGATGCGCCGCTGTGTTTCTGGCCTCGCTGCAGCTTCTTTTCGCGACTCACGGGGCTGACGTAGGCCTCGCTGACCTGCGGCAAAGATTCACAGTTTCGATCGACTTCCCAACTTCCGGGGGATTAAACTAAATGAACTCTTGTCTCGACGGCAATCGTCCTACACTTGTGGCTATGAAAACTGAATCGCTCCGAGACTCGTGTCCTTTGGCACAAAAGCTCAAAGTTTTTCATCCTAGCTCGATAAGAGTCGCTGAAAGAAGCCAACGTGCAAAGGAAAGATGAATGCAGTGCCAGAGAGAAAAGGAATTAGAGAAAAAGAGTAGCTCCGTAGCTGCTGCACCCTCTACAGCCCGAGCTCGCGTGCCGCCGCCGCCGCCGCCACTGCTGCTCTCCATTAACGTCTTTTGTGTCGCTCGACGCCGAGTCGCGTTCGCGCGCCTGACGGGTAACGACGCTCCTACAAAAAGAAAGACAGAGACTACCTCATCCTCTTCTTCTTGTTTACTTCCCATTTCAATGCAAAAAGCTAACGAGTCGGCTTTCTGTCCAATATCATAATTATTGTCAGTCGATTTTACTCTCAAGAAGCGACTTCGCTGTAGTCTTTGCTCGAAACCATTCTTTCAAATTTAAGGAGTTTCTGAGATAAACACAGGATTTATTTTGAGTTTCATAAATTACATGCATTAATGATCGTTTTAATCACTCTGGTGTCAAGTGAAAGATCAAATAATGTTTGACCTACAAACATTAAATCATTTTATCCAAATTTTATCAAAAAGTTGTTGGTACGAAAACTCCTCGACCAGTTGCCTTTATTTAAAAGAGCTAGCTTGATTATAATGGTGCAACTGCATACTCGACTGATCCCGAGTATTTCTATTTGAATGAGCCTTTTTTTGAGCCCTGATCTAATGTGCACGAAGATCATTATTTTACTGTTCTATTCATGCTTGCGTGAACTCTGCGCAAGTATATGAGAAAACAGGTCACATGCACTTACTTTTGTCTCCACACAACGTTGCATTCAGATTTCTCAACCCTTGTATTCACGGCTTCGTGTACGTGTGCTCGTATAAGGGAGAAAGTAAAATATCCCGACTGCAAAAACAAATCATGTCTCGTCATCAATGCACTGGTGTTTAAATCTTCTACCATCCCTGCAGATGTAATTTATTTACGCTTTTACATCAAAACATGGTATTGTTTTTTCGTAATCATTGGAACTTATTAATTTTTTATTGTATGAAAGCCATAAAAAATTCAAAAATAATATTTTCAATTAATTAATCTCTTTTAGCTCATCAATCAATCAAAAATAGACTTTAGTTAAAATGTGTAAAATTTAATGATATACTTTAAAATCGTAGAAAAGTGAAGGTTTTCATCTTTTAATGCAACTGAAAGGTAGTTATTTCAATTACACTAAAGTTTTCATTGCAATACATCATGTGACGTTTTGCAAATATTTAAAAGATTTAAAATTTTTAATTGAACTTTAATGACTTTTGGATGTGATATACTTGGTAATAGTAATTTTCGATACAAGTGCCATAAGTAACACTTTTTGGCACGGCGTAGTTTAGGGCCCGAGCGCAGCGAGGGTCCTAATAGCTGGGCCGAAAAGTGTCCCCTATGGCCCGAGTATCGAACAGCGTTTTATAGTACTGTGCAAAGTTCACATTTATGCCCCCTTTTCCGATGCATAAGTCGCACTTTCTGGTAGCGCGAAGTGAGGTTAGCGCACGAGCGTATGCGAGTGTGATGCGAACGCAGCGGTGCCAGAATGTGCGACTTATGCCACCGAAAAGCGTGCCATAGATGTGAACTTATGCCACGCAGTGCTATAAATATTTTTCCTTGACTTTTTACACTTTACAGTCATCCATAAAAAAAAATTGAAGTCAAATCATTGGAGCAGATTGAATGAAAAAAAGAGTAAATATTCTGAAAACCACTAGGTGCTCTTTGAACGCTTGAGCCGACTAAATGTGTGGGTTGGTGTGCTGCGAACAGAAAAAGTCCCAAACCAGCGATGAAGAAGGAGGTAAAAGCACAAATTCTCCAAGGATATATGAAGGCGGAGCAAAAGAAGCTCAGCTGAGAGAAAAGAACTTGAAATCTACGTCATTTCGACTAGGGACGCTTTTTTTGCCGTTCAAATGTAGTTCTAGGTAGTCTTTTTTTCTGGAAACGTTGTCACATTTGCACTAAATCGAAAAGCAGTATTGTTTCATAGGCAAAGTTTCGTTGTTATAGCGAAACCAGCAACAGAAGCATAACTATCAGCCAGTTGCCATACGACAAAATTAGCCCAAGTCACGTGTATAATTGCTTTGCAAGTTATGCAGCTCTACTTGCCGCAACGCATTCTGTACTATGGATGCGGATGTGTATGCGTGCATTGCGGCGGGTCGATGGAAATTTCGATTCGACTTTGCGCCACGGCTTTTAATTGAATTGGCTCTGCCTTTATAATTGTTTACTCGATTTGCATTCAATAATTCGAAAAATTTAGAGAGAGAGAGAGAGAGAGAGAGAGAGAGAGAGAGAGAGAGAGAGAAGCGTTTGCTTTTAACATGCATTGGATTTAAAGAAATTGCGAGGTTAAAAGTAAAAATTGCTAGAAGCCATTTATTTCGAGTTGCAACAAATATGATTCACATGTAAGTTTTTCCTTTGATAAAGAAAAAAATCTTAAAAAGAGAGAAGAGAAACTTCAAAAATGTTGGTAGTATTACAGACATACAATTTAAAAAGTAATTACAAATACTTCATGAGGATTGACTCTTATCAGTTTTGAGCGGTTGCTTTAAAAAATAAAAGTTTATCTTACGTGCTCAATGTTCATTAAAGAGCTTAAGATGTTCAGTCCATAACTTTTTCTGATGCTCGAGCACTCGGTCTCGATGAGGCAAATGCGTGCGTGTGGATGTACGAGCGCGTATAGATATTGTACACACAAATGCACGCGTACAAACAGTCAAGATTTATGCGAGCAAATATGTTTTCCGATACGTCACGAATCGTTTTCAACTTGGCCCGCGCTCGTTTATGTGTTTGCAACTGCAGCAGCTCCAGTGCGCGCGCGCTATAAATTACCAATTCAAACCGGAATCATGAAAGCTCATGGACCTGAAAGACCCGCGCCCCGCCGCCATCGCGCTGCTCCTGCTGCTATTGCAATTTTTTACGACCCCCTGTGTCAACGGCTCGTAGGATATGTGGAGTGCATTGAATTTTTAACTACCAACCAACGTGTCCGTATAATTCATAAAACGTACGTTCGCCATGGCTTTTGGAATTTCAACGAAACGAAAAAGCTCAATTAACAGAAATAGTAAAAGGCTGCAGCTTTGAAATAACGTTGGTAAATGTTATTGAGGTTTTCAAAACTCAAAATCTAATTTCTTAATTTTTCTTATTTTCAAGACCATTTCGGATAAAGTTTAGCTATGTTTACAATTTTCAACGATACTGCAGTTAAATGAAGTTTCTAAAGTTACTCGGCTATATCATTTTGATATTGTACCCTCCTGATACGTAGCAGCAAAAAAAAAACTGTAAGTAATGTTTGATACTTGCTTTTGATATAAAACTTGAAGTGCGTTGAAGTGTTCATGCATCGAATTTCGAAGATTAGCACCATGCTTTGGTGTCACCAAAGACGGAAGTAACGGAGTGAAAAGAATATTAAAAGAAAAAAGTTCGCACTATCAGGCAATGGTTGACACGGTACGAGGAAACTTTTTTTCCAATGCGTAGAGCCTGATATCAGTAATATTTTGAACTTTATGTCGTCTATCATTGAGAACATTCAAAAATCTATCAAAAATTTTATAGAATACTCGAACAAGCTTTAGTGCTTTCGTGGAGCTAGAAATGTGCCATTTTTACAAGCATTAAAAAATGTAGATAGTCTTATGTTATTTACATATCAGTTTTAACTTTTATCGAAAGATATTTTTTATAACTGATATATAATACTATTGTAAAAAGAAACCAATTAGTTCAGTTTGATCGAGAGAAATATTTCTAATGCATTAATTAATTTTACGATAAGTTGATATGAATTGAAGTTAAGAAAAAATTGGACCGAGCTACGTTAAAGTTAATTCAAAGTAGGAAAGCGGGAGTTAAGAGGCCAGTAAGTAGCCGCAGGACTGAAATTCGGTTAGACATTAAGTAGTAACTAGTGCCACGATGTTGTGGGGCACTGAGTCTGTAAGTGCTGCAACGTGTCATGGTGATACTAATTGTTGCGTGCTTGCGACTCGATGTCACTTTGTTAGAATTTAATCAGAAAGAGCTAGAGTTACGAAGCTATCGAAGTAACAAATAAATACATAAAATTGCGGCTCTATCAAGATCACAAGCAGTTAAAGCAAAAAATATACAAAGTAGTGATCTTCCTTTCGACCGATTGTAATTTTCGAAGTTTGAACGTCTTAGAGAATCAGGACTAAATACTGACATAGTTAAGCCACAAGCCGATTGCCGTCCATATCACGCATTCATATACTTAGACGTCGTTCCGATCGACGAAATGAGGGACTGGGCCGAAAGATATGCGCGTGCAACGCAGAGATTCACTCACCAAATCGTCGTTGAGCGTAAAGTACATTTGTGCCGGTGGCCTCGACAATGGCATGCTGCAGTTGGCCCTCAGAGTCTCTCCAGGCTCGTAGCGGTTACGTTCCGAGGCGAGGACAGGCTTACCCTTCGGTATAGCTGAGAAAAGGCAATAATTTGTCAGTTCAGAGGCGAAGATTCGAGCTCGCCCACGGCGACGTGCCATCCAAAGGCCGGTCGTACTTGGCGGATAAATGATTGCCAAAATATGCCATACTCACAAACGACACTGAGGGTTTTTGTGCTGCTAGCCGTGGAGAAGGTCGGCGCATCGGTGGTCACTTCGCAGCTGACGTTGCCGGCCAATTGAAAATCGACGTTCCGAATCGTCACTTGGCTCTCGTTCGACAGCTCCGGCTGAAAAATTACATTACTTAGACTCTATGCATTTCAGTTGATACGCTCGTTAAAGACAAGATTTATCAACTCACGTCAACATCGATCCAAGAAAAGTTAAAGATCTTCGTCGAGGGATTGTCGCTGGGTGAATACCTGTAGAATTCATAGGAGCCCCGGTAGTACTTGAGCGAATAGAGAGGCGCCTCCTCTAATTCGTAGAAACACCTAAGCGTCGCTTCCTGGCCTTGCTCCACTGCCTGTGGGCTTACTTCCAGTCTAACGTTTTTCAAACATTTTGCACCTAGAACAAACAAGTGAAAATAAAAGTCACACTAGGCTCACGCGATTTCATTATCAATTAGTTTACACTTCTCAAAGGAAACTAGTCAAAAAATTGCATAGATATCTTAAATAATAGAAATAATCAATATTTTAATTTTCCAGTTGCAATAATATAGTTAAAAGTGCTCTCTCGATTTTATAGAAGTAGAAACTTTGGAACGTGCACTATGCACGTGTGCATTTAAATGTCCGATAATTGCATTTTTGGCCACAGGTGTCAATTTTTTAAATCTCTTCTCAAATTATAATCTCGTTCTTTTGCAGTCTCATTCGGCGCATCAATCAGAAGCTGTTTTAAAATGCTTCACATTTCAGTCGATCATTTTTTCATAGGCAAAAAAATTGTTCAATTTCCGTTCTATTTCTCATTCATTAAATTAATTTTTTCTAATTTTATTTTCTTTTACAGTTTATATCGTATGCAAAAAGTAATCAAAAGTGATTGAAGCTACCTTTCGTAAATATGCTGAAAAACTACAGAAAAGGTATAGGTAAAAAGCTTCTCTGTTTGTGTACTTCCAAAATTTTAGTAGAATAATTTTTGTGTTTCTATTTCTCCAATACTTTCTAAGGTAGATGGTAAACAAAATTTCCAGAGTACACTTATTTAAAATTCTATTTGTTTTTTGCAAAGGAATATTTTGAATCATCAATATTGTTGCAGCTGATCATAAGTTTCATCCAGCAAGTCAATCATCATTACGCATTTCATGATTTGTTGCATCGCAAATTGATTCGGATTGATGATTTTCGATTCGAGAGAGAAAACTAGGTGCAAAACACTGTCGGCAGATAAAAGAGCGGTAAAAGTTGTTACCATTAATTTCAAAATGTTTAGTTAGCCAATAGAGTAGAAATAGCTTGTAGTAACAGCTTGTACCCGAAGCGGGGTGAAAGGAGAGTTTTGGTTGTAACGATCTCCCATCATAGCATTCGCGATTTGCAAAAGCGTTAGCTATGTATATATTACTCGGCGATGATTGGGCTTAAAAATTGGCAAAATGAGTGGCAAGAACAGACTGACATGAATAATCGCACGAAAAGTTTTAACCCAAATAAAAAATATAACTAACCGCTATTTATACGGAGTATGATGAGGTTACTTACTGATTTTTAGCAATAGTTTGATAGATCCGATTTAAGTGCTAATTTTCAAAAAAGAACTTTATGCTAGCACAGCTTCAACGATTTCCGACTGTTATTTGCGTCTCATCCCGTATAATTTCAGTTTCTTCAAAAAAGCTATGAACTCTCTTTTTTCGTTTTATGGCTTAATTTTTTTGTAAATTTGTAAACACCGTACAATTTCAAATCGAGCCAAGTCATGAGGTTCTGCACCAGGAAAAAGTAAAAGAAGAAAGAAAGAAAGTACCATTAAAAAGCATTGTTTCTCGTATCATAACCTAAGAAAGGCTTACAGCCTCTTGGCAGCATCGCTTTTGATGCCTTTTATACGACTTCCATTTCATTTGGTTGCTTATGCTACTTCGTCAAATGATGATTTTGTTTTCCATTTTTTACACATACACAAGTATTTCAATTTTTAGGGAGTAATTTACTCCATTAACTTTATCATTTTATGAGTTAATTTAAAACTCACAATGTTTCTGGTATACTCTTACACTACCAATGACAAACCAATTTTTACCTCAACAGCGATTATCCGATAGATTTTTTTTGTATCGAAAAATAATGTAAATTTATGACGATAGAATTATACTGTAAAATATCACTGAAAAAAATCTTAGGGGCGAGTCCAACAAAAGTGGACAGCTAGAGCAGAAAAATATATTTTGCTGCCAAAGCAAAAATAATTCACCAAAATTTAGCAGCCAAATATAGCGCAATAATTTTGTTGTGGCAGCAAAATATCTTTTTCTGCTCCAGCTGTCGACTATTGTTGGACTCACACCTAATATTTTTTTTCGTGTACGTTACATCAAAACTTTGCTGTTTCACGTATTGCATTGATAGATTATAACAGCAGTACATGTGGTTGATGTACGTACAGAATAAAATGAATCGAGCGTAAGTCTAAGAGTATAAGCTGAGGGAGTGGTGGTACAAATCAAGACTTTAATCATCTGTCCTTTTGTGCTTTACCATTGTTTTTATTTTTTCAGGCGTAAACTACCCTACAAGCTAAGCCTTGGCGCATAACGAAGCTGTGCCTTTAGTGGAATCAATTGCGTGATTCAAAAAGGAATCCATCTTCTTGGCTCTTTTTGCGAAGCTCACGCAGCTTCTCGCACTGTTGACCTCGATTTTTCGATAATGCGATTCTCAGGCGAAATCGTAGCGGCAATTAGCGCGTCACGATTGACAAGTTCACCTCGGTTATTTTCAGCTTTATCCAGAGACTCGATCGCTCAGTTTTCCCTTCTTGGCGAGTCCGCCACTCGATGTTTTTTCGCGCCAGAGAAATGGCGCGAGAGCAGATCGAGAGTCGAGAAAAACATTTACCGCCTTCGGGACAACTGGAGCTTTCGGCTGGAGGCAAAAAGCACGAGAATCGCTAGAAGATCTCTCGAGGCTTTCAAGCCCCCAGCTGGATTTACGGCGGAGGCGTGTATTATGTACAAAAGGCACAGGAGAGCTGCTGCGAGGCCGGAGGCAGTCATGTCGGCCTCGACTCCTTGAATATTCCGATTAAAAGGGGGGAACAATAGGCGCCGGGGCGTCTTGCAGTGTCTGCTTTTCGTGGCTTGTACGTGGCTCCAACGTAGCCTCGACGTGCTTAGGTGCTGTCCATGCGAGGCATTGCCAGACTGACCCCATCGGCAGACCATCCAACCTTTCGTTCTCATCCATTAGACACTTTTCAAGAGCTAATTTATCGGGAAATTCTTTTTATCTGCTAACGGATATCCGACAAAATCTTTGTTTACATCTCGCAAAATCATGTATTCGAGCATGTATTTGTTTCCCTACTAAGAAGCCAATAAAAATTCGCGACGCACCGCAGGGAACATTCGTACACCCTGCTTTTGCACAGGCGCCCTTCAGCCACATGCCTGCGTCGAAAAATTTCTCATCCGCTCTACGGCGTCGCAACGTCGGCGACAGCGGCAATGATCAAGTTTTGTTTTTCTTTCCTCCTCGAGGCTATATCGAGGTAGACCGCCCGCCTCGAGGAAGACATTTGAATATCGATGAACCAGTGATCCTTCCGCACAGCCGAATTGCTTCACCGCACTTACACAGAAGCCCAAGATTGTTAGAAGATTTGCTGCTCTGCAATATTCGCAGCACCCATAATTTTTAACAAATCCCACCTAATTTTAGCATAAAAATTGAATTTTTATGTTTCAAGGAATTCTTGTAATATATTCTTCGTTAATGTACATTTTTTACAATTATCTTTTCAAGTAACTTTCAATACTTTTTTAAAATTTTTATTATTAAAAATAATCGATTGACAGAGTTAAAAAACTTGCACGCAAAATAATTCAATCACGTAAAGTAGATTTTCATCTCAACTATAAGAACAGCAGATTTTGTCACAATATGCTTCTGAGAGAAAAAAAGAAATAAAGACGTAAGCCTCGTGCAGTTTCAACCTTCAGTTTAAGCAATCACCAAGTGCCAAGACGCCTACAAGCGACTGAAAAGAAACAAAATAGGTACAAAAAAATTTTCGTTGGCTTCTGGACATTCTTCTGATCCGAATCAGCAGAAAATGTGAACTTTTGGCAGTGTACTGTATGATTGTAAAAAGTACAGTCAACTTGAGCAATTTTTTTGAATTTAAATTGTTCGTAAATTGTCGCGTAAAACATGATATGATCCAGTAGATAAAATAAGAATTAAAACTTAATTTTGTACATTTTGTTCTTTCCATTTAAAATATTATGTTTTTTATACAACTAGTACACTTCATTGGAAAATACGTTTATAATCAATAAATTATCTCTATGTTCTATTGAAAGGTTCTCAAATAAACTCATTCAAATTTCGTTTACTCGAGCGTAATCATTCGTTAGAACTTTTTAATGAATGAAGTTATTATAAAAGTTAAAAACCAATAGTTTCAGTAATTTTACTGCACGATTTGGAATAACTAAAGTCTATATTCATTCGTGTAATGTCATTGTTTACTGGTATTCAAGCCATTGAAAAAGATAAAGAAGCGAACGATATTTTCTTTACTTTAATAAATCAAAAAACTGTGACTCTAGCTTTCTGATGACGAAATGACTACATAATGTCGATCATAAAGTTGGTCGAAGTTTCGTGCGCAGTAGCGGCGAAGACAAACGACGCATTAAATTGATTAAGTTTTTGCGCGCCGCCGAGGAGACAACGCGTTGATGTTGCGAGCGATTTATATATTACCAGCAGCAGCAGCTACTGGCATAACAGCACTAGCTTGGGTTGGGCTCCTGTCCACTTTTCATGCCAATTACACGGGGCGTGTGCGTGGCCCAACTGCAGCAAAATGATTAAATTTTAATCAGCTAATGGTGCTGTGTAAGCTGCGACTTTTACACCGATAATGCCCGGATTTGGCGCGAATCGGCAAAAACGTTTAACGGGAACCTCCCTCCTCCAAATTGAAAAAAAAATGTTTTTTAAAGATTTTTTGTAATATAATAAAACGAAGTATCTTAATGAAACTTTTTATACATACTTTATTGACTCTACACTACATAAAAAAAAATTTTTATAATTTTTTGCCACCCCGTATCGACTGCTAAAATTATTTAAAAAAAAAACGAAAAAACCGCGGCGGAAAAGATTAAGAAAAAACCATTCATTTTATCAACCTGAAATTTTTAGACAATAATCTGTGCATGTTACGGCCCAGAATGAACAAGAATGAAAATCATTGGTTAAAAAATAAAGAAATGGCGGCGTTTTTTCAAAAACCAAACTTTTTTTTCGAAAATTGTTTATATCTTCAAAAATACTATGTCGATGGGCAGATTATTGTGTTAAAACTTCAGGGTGATCAAATCAATGGTTTTTTCTTATTCGTTCCCGGCGCGGTTTTTTCGTGTTTTTTTGAAATAATTGTAGTAGTTATAAAGTATGTATAAAAAGTTTGATCAAGATATGTCGTTTTATTGTATTATAAATAAATCTTTGAAAAAACATTTTTTCTTTTTTATTTGGAGGAGGGAGGTCCCCTTAATGCATCGCTCTGCACATGGCTAATTGGCCTCGCGGTTATTTCGACGCTGTTTTGACTAAAGACGACATTTTAGTGGGCCGTCGATGGGGAATTAAAAGCGGCTCGATTTCATATTCACACAAGAGCTGCTGCCACTCGAGTCGACCGAGCAGTCGAATCGATCGGCTGCGCATCAGCTCGGCCGCGTCATGAATATTTCGCCGGCTACCATATCGCACGATGTAACCTGGAATCGCGACGGTGTAATGTCTTTGCCATTGATATGCTGGTCGAAGCGATCATTTCCCGAAACAGCCACTGATTTTCAGCTACTCGAGTTGAGATTTTTACGCTCGTGTAAAACTCGTTTCTCCGGCGAGACGCGACAACATCAACGCCTCGTCCGAAGAGTTTACACCGTCTATCAATTTTCAAACTCGCACAAGTCGAACGAGAATCGGACTCGACAAAAATGCCGGAAATGGGCGTCGCATCGAATACCTCGAAATATTCGAGCCTCTAAAAGCGCCCATATCAATTAATGAGCTCGTCGCTCGGGCCGAGTGGAGGAATCGCGATCCACTGCAAAAATTAACATTTTAATGGAAAAGTCGCGAGTGCGGCTCGATGGCTTTACGTGGGTTACGCGAGTTCCAGGATTAATGCGCCGATGCAAAAATAAAGCGGATTATGTTGCTCCAAGTACTTATCGAAATCTCATCAGCGTCGCTCAGCCGGCTCAATTCCGGGCGAGAAAAAAAAACAAAAGAAACGAGATTCGAGCGGTGTAGGTACACGTGTAAGGAGTCGATTTTCCGCCTCGATGCCGATCCGTCAAAAGTCGCGACGACGCCAAAGACTAAATGGGCGAAACTAAACGAGGCTGGAGGGAAATTGAATCATTTCGTCGGTCGAGTGTGGACAGCCGAGTCGGACACGGACATCGAGAGCAAATAACAGTCGGACATGCTCGCCTACGCGTCTACGCGCAGATGCATCGGAGCCGCGAGTCAATCATCGAGTCATCTCGTTGGATGGTTGGCAAAGTGCAGAGGAGGTGCAGCAGCTGTTGCCGCAACGAATTTCGGGCTGATTTTGCGGCCCCTCCGCACGACGCATAGTTCAGCAGCGATACTTTATATGCCGCACGACTGCAGCTCGACTCCGCCGTCGTCGCACGTGTGTGTAATACTCCCGCTATAGTCGACTCATATAAGTATAAGAGAACCACAAGCGGCGACGATTTACGAGGCGGGAAACGACGGCTATGCTGTGCTGTGCTATGGTGGGGGCAGCAGCAGCCACTGCCATGACTGCGGTTCGTCCACGCGAGGCGCCTTGCGGTCTTGTACGTGTGCCTACGCGTGTGCATGTGTGTATGTGGCTGTGCGTCCCATAAGCCGGACCATCGTCGTGCGGTGTCGCTGTCGCAGAGCCGCGCAAGGGGACACTTTCGATGTTTCTCGCACTTGTTTTCTCGCTCCTTTTTGCTTTTGTTCCGGAGCTGGAGTCATGCTTCACGTGCTCCAGCTCACGGGGACTTTTCGCATTTTCATCGCCGATAGCGAGTCGAGGTGGCGATTCAGCTTCTGTATTTCTCATTTTCGGAAGCAATACCGAGAATCTCGCTGTAGCTTGGTCGCATCGCCCCAACCGCTCGATCAGCTTCCCCCCGGGCTCGGATAGTCCCGAAATAGGCCTCGGCTTCGCCGTAAACGTCGTGTTTGCGAAGCGTCCGATTCGATCAAAAACTTCGTAAAGTTGCCAGTCGGGCTAAGCCGACGTTATGAGCCGCGCTACGATCATAATTAAGAGTTTGGCGGGTCATTTTTCGGAACTTTGCCGCGCGATGACTTATACGATTCGAGTGCGCCAGTATCTACGGATGAGCGACCAAGACTGATGAGCTTTGGCTTTTCAACGTAAAATCTCCAAGACTTTTCTAGTTTTGAATGCAGCGAATTAATTACCACCACCTCAGGTTTGTTTGGCTTAAGTGTTACATATTTTATTTTCGGCAGCACAATGCGTATCAGGAAATATATCTACCTAATATTTTTAACCGCGAGAAAAAGAGATACTTTTGAGATTAAAAGTATAATTTTGCAGCTTTATTCAACTAAAAGCATTTTTGTATTTCAATTTCAATCAATAACCGAATTTGTAAAAAAAAAATTTGAGTTTTACGAGTTTTCTCACAAATTTTAAACGTAGTTAATATTATCAAAATTTCGTTTCCCTCTTAATTAGTGAATTTAAAAATTGTACATTAACCACAATAACCTAAAAATAAATATTCTCGGAAATTAAATTTTTTTTTTTCGAGGTACCATAATTTTCGACATTTTCAAAAGAAAAATTCATTGGATATTTAATCGAACTGACCTTTTTAAAGTAGGGTTAATTTTCAAAAATAATGAAATTACATTATTTTAACAAGCAAATTTTAAATAACGATTCTACCGTTTCTACGAGCCTATAATAAAACATTTTTATAGACTTTATATAAACGTGTAATTTATAGCGTGTCGGAACAAAGCGCTCAAGAGTCACTTCGAGTATAAGTGAGAAAACAAAAGAGACTGCTATTAACGACTCGGATCGATCGTTAAATTAAAAGCATTGATTCAAACATTCATTTTAGTCATTTTAAAATTCCCTACCCAGCCCATTTTTCTCTCCAGCCAAGTGGTAACTGATAAAAGTGTTTGATTTTAATCACCGCTCCATGGATTTGACCGTTTCCTTTTGAAAAGTGCCAGTATTTGTGAACGGGAGATGAAATTATGGTATCGCCGATAGACTATATGATATAGAAGCCGAGGACAAAGTATCGAATTAAAATTCCGAGCATGTGTTAAGAATTATGCGAAAAATTTGTCGCTACACGTTTGTCAATAATAGTAGCTCATACGCCGGAATGTAAAAGTATCCGTAATGCATGTAAAAGCGATTCGTCGAGTGGGTGCGGCTTTGATCGGTTCATTCGTTCCCACTCGAAACATCTACGTATTTATGCACGCTGAATTTCAATTGCCCAAGCAATATATGCTTATAATTATCTTACCTACTCAAGTTACAATTGTTCATGCCCGTCGCCTAATATTTATTTTTTAGTCTGTAAAAAAAATTAACCGGTACACATTGAAGAAGGATTACAAATGAGCACGTGCTTGAAATACTGACTTTCAAATAGAAATTAGCAAGTGGTAGCTGTTTATGAGAAAAGTTAAAAGCATTAATTAATGGTAATTTTTAACACGGTACTAAAACTAATTTAATCACATAAATTTAACGATGATTTTATAACCTAAATATGGGATGAATTTAAATTTTGACGAGAAAATCGTCTGGTTTTTTCTTAATTTAAAAATTAAATCTTATAAAGCTTATGAAAATTTTAGATTGCATCGCAAGGATAGAAAAAACTTATTACTTAGTGCATATTTTGATGTAATAGTTTAATCAAAAGCTAAGTGAAACGATTTAAGTTTAGGTGAAGTATTATATCTTTTGCATGGAATTGTTTAGGAATTTTAATATCCAAAATAGCTCAGCTAAAAAAAGTTGTTATGGGTTTTCCCAGAGAAAAAGAGTGAATTACTTGTGATGATGAGAGCTACGAAAGTCAGCTCCAACCAGACTAATCGGAGCATGACTCGTCGCGGCTTTCTTTGCTCCTTCCTTGCTAAAACTACCTCATTCAATTAGCTGAACACACTTGCTCACACGCATATTTTTTAATCACTCATCGCTTCACTCGACTCTATGCTTCAAACAACTCGCGAACAATTCAAGTTTCACGTGCTCACATCACTTCGATCCAGGGGGATTAACGACCTCCCGCAATAATATAACGAAATTACCATAGAAACTTTGGAAAATCGACTATCGAGCTCGATTCGTCGTCACAAGGTACGGGCACGATACTGCGAGATTAATACGAGCGCAAAACACGCGAGCCCGGAGTTGTTGCGTTTGCTATATACTCGCGCGGCGAAAGAAAAGCTCGCGCATGTGCGTCGTTGCGGCGGCAGCGGCGATCCCACTACCAACTGCCGGCTGCCTTGCCACCCAGCGCGCAATACAGTATGTCTACAAACTTTTGTAACTATGGTTTCAAGATCGCAATCTTCCAATGAGCTTCGGAATTATTTTATTCTCCCTGAGAATAAATATCCCATTGATAATTATTGCAATGAAGTATTATTTTTGGCGTAAAAACTTGACACAAATAAATCAGTCGATAATTTATAGATTAATGAGAGACTAAATCCGCCCAAGTGTACCATTTTCTCCTCCGAACACGAATCTCATTTGTAAAAGCGAATTTATTACAGTCAGCGCATTCGCATTTAATATCCTACACGCAATCAGTCGTTTTACAAAGCAATAGTGCGTTTGTTCTGCAATTCTTGCGTGCTTTTCTCTACCCAACTCGTACTCCTACACGTAACATCTTACGAACACTAGGCGAGAGTAGATAGATTTATTACATCTAAGTCGCGTGCGCGCGAAGCGTTGAATGATATTTTAATACATTTCGCGCGTGGATCGATGAAATTTAGGGGATCGCACCATCAGCCATAAGTGAATTAAAAAGTAATTTATGGATTACATCTTTTGGCTCGTAAATATTTTAGGCCATTATTTTGTTCTAAAAACGAGACCCGAGGGCGCCTTAGCTAGTTCAACCAAATATCTGATTATGCATATCATTTATACCTGATGAGATTCATATCGAAATGAGTTAGGATCGTTAATGAGAATACAGTTAAATCATGTGTGTTGAGAAGTTTTATCTCTACAAGACTTCTCAAGGAAGTCTGCTGGTAAGCTTCACCACACACAATATCAAGGATAAACGCATACGTGTTGAATTTTTATGTATAAAAGGGCATTAAAGACGCAAGGAGGCATCTTGATTTACATCACAAAATAGCGTCTTGCAAACTGCTTAGTATGCTCTCTTCTCCTTTTTTATTCTTACGCAACCCAACGCATTACAATATATATCGCTGTGTGATTGTCCTTTTTTTTCTCTTTCCTTCCTCCGAATCTTCTTGGACTTTTTGCGTCTCACGCGTGATTTCTCGATTCCGGAAGCGTGTCGGAGAAAAGAAGGAGTTGGCAGGCGCTCGACGCACACATTGAAATATCGCAAGAATATCAGTCCTCGCGCAGGGACTTGATAGCTCGTTTGTCGAGTCGCAAGAGCTGACTGGACGTCCGAAAGCGTCCTCCATTTCCCGATGCCGCCGCTGGACCCTTTGAAAAGATCCTCGGCTATATATTCCTTTTTTCCTTTGGCCTTTTTCTCCGTATAGTACGTCGCCGACACCGACTCGGCGTCGCTTCCTGTGCCATCCAACGCGAGCAGTTATGTGCCTCTTTATATGCGCCTCTCCTCAAAGTCACACGCATCTACGCAACGCAAAATTCACAATATTCTCGCCTCTTGATGATCCTCCCTCTCTCATGACCAGAAGCTGTTAACCCACATAAGCAACTTATATAGTCTGCGCAGATCGTGGCTTTGTGCTCGGCCCGAAAACATCTCGGACGAAAATCAAATTGTTTCTCGGCTTGTTGTTTTCACCTCTACTGGCTGCAGTGCTGGCGATACACGATTCTTTCGGAGCAATAATAAATTAGCCGAGTTGAAAAGAAACTCATTGCAGCGGCCAAATACGTGTGCCCGCCTCGAGCTTCGCAGCAGCTAAATAATCGCGTACACAGCTCGAGCCGTCTTACAGTCTCACAGTCTCTCTCTCTCTGGCGCATTTCCCTCCTTTTTTCCAACTGCTCCTTTCCAACTCGCTCCTACGTCCGCTCGACTATTTTCTGAGCTGGGGCAAGAATAAGTGCTCGCAGACCTGCCTCGCGCCGGCGTAACTTATGTCGAAAAACTCGCAGCAGCAGCCCCGCTACATGCGAAAATGTGTGCTCTTGTCGTACACAAGGACTCGTGCAGCCAAAGGCCTCAGCTTTGCCGCCGTTGAATCCACCAAGCAGGCTAAAGTCAAGAGGTCATTTTTTTACCATCGAGTAACTGTTACTGTGTGCAGCCAAACCGATCATGAACAAAGGTAACTGCGGGCTTAAATGATATAATATTTGCATATGATAAATACTACTTATATCATGAAATAAATTTTTCTCAGTTTTTCTTAGAACGATTTTTAATTATGAATAAAAAATCTATCCGGAGGCTAAAAAAGTCCATAGTATTATTTCATTTCATTTTCAATTATTTTACTTCATTTCATTATAGATAGAACTAATAACGAAACTATGCTTCACGCTACCTAAATAAAAGATACAAAATGATGGTTGCAAATAAACTTCCAAATGTGTCATTTTATTCGTTAGCATGAATTTTAGATTATTTGAAGAACACTTCAATGAAAATTTAAGAGTAGCTGCTTTGATAAATCCCCAGGCGTATTTTGGCGCACCTTATTGCAATATAGCTCACGTGACGCAATAAGCAGAGCTTTCCGAATACATCGACGCACTCCAGTCGACTATGAGTGCGTGACACGCTGGTACTACGCGCCTATTTATACATTTTTCATCCCTCGACTGGCTTGGTTTCATCATTTTTGTCGCGAGTTGCGGAGCTTTGAGGCTGCGAGTCGAGTCGCTCATGCGTGTACTCGGCGCTTCGAGCCCCGCTCAGCAGCAGCAGCAGCGGTACTGCGGCGGCGGTTTCGAGCTCGCTGAATGTTAAAAAAAGCCATTCGCAATAGTGCGCGACTGCAGCCACCGACTGATACACTCCATTGACTCCTCCAACCTGAAAGAAGTCCTCGGCTAAGGACATGTTTCATCGACTGTGATGATTGCGCCTACGAGCCACCATCTATGTGCCGATTGAGCTACGACAAAATTCCCGCCAGAAATTTTAGAGACGAGCTCCAAACGGAACCAAACGGCCTTTCCACCTTAATCTTCCAGTCAATGATGAGGAAAGCGTCAAGTCCGAATTGGATTAGCAAAGAGACTATCGTTCGTCAATGAATTAAAAAAATTAAAAATTATTTTTTTTGTATGCATGAATTTATGAGTAAAGAAGAACAAAGAAGTAAAAGGCAAACATTAAATGTAATTCTCTACTTGTACAACATCACACACTTGGGCATATGCCATAAATACAATCAATTTTGATATGACAAAAAATATTTCGCTAATTATATTTTACCAATGATTTTCAAAAATTTTTGAACAAGATTAATCGAAACTGTACGTGACAATAAGCGACGCTTTAGAATATTACTCTGGTTTATAAAATTGGTATCGGAACGGAGTTGAGCTATATCGTTTAGGGAAAAAACCACATAGCCACTACTAGCTGGTGCGAGAGGGACAAGCTTTACCGAGCAAGAAATCGCTTTTACGTAGGATTTTGGTTCGTTAAATCGTATTTTGGTTGCTGCGGGTGAGCCTACGAGTTGTTAGGGGTTGGAGAGAGCGAGAGAGCTCGATTTATTTTTCACCCTCAAGCTTATGAAAATTGATGACTATATAGTAGTTGTTAATTTACGAATCTTTTCAATTACTTTTTTTATTTTAATGAAACCGTAATATAACGAAAGTATATTTTATTCTCGTTCTTTGTATTTAATTTATTTATTTATAACTTTCTTCAAATTTAGTTCCTAAAATATATAATTTAAAAAAAATAATAATAAAAAATAATTTATTAGTTATTCATTGGCAAATAATTCATATTCCTTTTCAAATAATTTTTTTGTACCATAATTAGTCAAGAGTTCAACAAATTTCAAATTAACAAAAGGTACATTGGAATTTTTTCTCATCGTCATGTCAACTTCTAACAATATATTAATATTATTTTTTAAGAATTATAAGAACTAAAATCTACTAACGCCAAATTTTTGCTTCAAATATCTTCATAGAAGTTAAAGTTGTATTTTTGCATGAGCTAAATACGCTGCTCTTTTTTGCATTTACAAAGGTGGAGACGTTTCTTAACTTTGATATTCAATAAGTTTTGGCCCTTCGAGTTTTTTTTTCTTTTTCTTTTCCGAATGTATCTTTCAAATAGATTCCCGATTTTTTCTGCCTACACACGTTCGCACTTTTTAGATGAAAAACTCAGAAAACAGCTCTTCTACTCTCTCATCACTGGAGCTGGGTGGATTTTTTTTGCACAACAAAATATCGCGCGATCGAATCGTAGCCAACAAAAGTCTTGGTTAAGAAAGTTGCTCTGCACGCGACAACGACGGCGACGACAACAAAGTTGAACTTTCCAAGCCGATTCTTGACACCGAAAGCCTGTTTCCACCTTGAGCGCGCAATAATAGGGGGGGAGGAAAGACCAAGCATCCTTGGATATAGATTGTGGCTTCGGTATCCTATAATACATCTAGCCACGGAGAATTGAAATTCACTCGAGTGAAATCACATCCAACAAAGTCACACGGCAAGAAGTCACTTTCTCGCACACATTCGTCAAGCCGTAGGTGCAGACCCGACAATACTTCATCAAGAATCACGCCTTAACTTGCATAAAGAAAGTTGAAAAAAGAACTCCAAGGGAGATCGTTGGGCTAACATGAATACCTCTCTTTCCATCATTTAACATCAAAGTTCATATATGCATACTACGCTAACTCAAAAAATTAAATTGTTCAATTGACCAACCATAATAAGAGAATTGTTTTTTATATGAATTGTATTGTTTGTAATAAAATATTGATAGGATAAAAAATAAAAAGAGCATCTACTATTACGGAATAAAATTACCAATTAGTCAAGTAAAGTGCCCATGTGATCCAAGTAGAACGAATCATTTTCTTTCAAAGCAAAAGTTATTTGAGAAATCGAACAATGTGTACTTCGGATGCAGAAACTCTTTTTCTTTTGCTAGCTTCGTTTATTATTATTTTACTCATATTTACAAGGACATGGTGAACTTTTCAAATGCAAAAGTTTTATCTTCATTTTGTTTTCCCGAAGCCAGTGACGTGCCAACTGATGAGCTTGTGTCTATGATTGCATTCGTCGTTTCCGTGCGAGAGTAAAACTTCTCAGTTCACCAATTTTTTTTTCTAAAAACTGAAATTGCGTTCGAGTTTGAATTTTTCTTCTTAAGTCCAAATGACTTCAAGCTCTTATGCATTTATATGAACACTAAAGCAAAGAAAACTGTAGTTTTTTACCTTTTATGCTGAGAAAATATCATTCATTTTTATTTATAAATCAGAATACGCTATTCAGTAATTGTAAGGTTATTTATAACGTTATTTTGAACCAATGAAGAAAAAATATGTAATTTGTTTTCAAAAGAATTGTATTTCGCGCCTCCTCCAAAAGATCAAAATGTAGTACTCCCTCTCGTGACTTTAGACCACACTTACAAAGACATGAAAAGTAAAGAATCCCAACGTCCGCTCGCGGTGCCGCTGGTGGCGCGCTGCGGTGACTGTGGGATTTCGTCATTCTTCAGCTTTGTGTCTAATAGACAACACGCTTAAGACATAACCTTTATAATCAAAGTAGAAGATGGGGAAGTCGAAGAGGAAGGCAAAGAAGGAGAAGCTGTCCAAGGAGTTGGCCAGGTTAGTGAGGAAAGAGATGGAACGAGTTACTCGCCGACCCCGCAGAAGGTCTTCGTCGTCGTCGAGTAGCGATTCAAGCAACAGCAGTAGCAGCAGCAGTTCCAGCTACCGACCGAAAAAGAAGCGGGCGAGACGATCCGTTTCCAGATCGAGTGACTCGGAACCTAACAGCGGTAAGTAGTTCTTCGGGCATGCAGAGACGTCTGAGACGATATATTCGTATTTAATCTCGAGTTCTTGAGTTCAACTCTACATATTCATTCGCTGGGAGCGAACGAATGGTTTAGCGGGGCTAACCTGTACGAACTCGTGGCTTGTATACATTGCACTGGGAGTGTACATGTACGTTGACGGCGAATGTGTCGATACACACGCGTCAGAAGCCGGCTCGCGCAACGATTCTCGTTGCCGAGAAAAATGATATCATGCGCGGTTATGATATTCATACTATACATATGCATTGAGAATAACGTGTGTTTTTTCTCTTTTGTCTCTATCTGTTGTAACAGATAAGCAGCGTCGTTCAGAAGAGACCGTGAACACGGCGTCAAAAGTAGATGGCGACCTAACCTTGTCGGGCGACAAGGCCGGCGGCTCTACAAACAAGGATGCCCAAGACATACACGCCGTCTCGGCCGTGAAGGAGAACACAGCCGATAAAACCAAGTCGTCGAATGACGAGACAGTTTCTTCGGAGAAGGAACTGAGCAATGATGTGCTGGATAGAATCGGAAAAAGATTGGTCGAGGATCGTCCACTAGCTGAACCTGTGCACTCTGCATTTCACGAGCGTTGGCAGGATGTCTTCAAACTGGGATTACCGAAAGAAGAAAGAGCAGAGTTAGTGAAAAAATTTCCGCTCCCGAAAAATTGCACCTTCCTAGACGCGCCCAAGCTCAACAAAGAGATAGTATTATCCGTGAACGAGTCATGCAAGACTAGGGATGCGCGCATTGTCGAAAAGCACGGCAGATTACTCGCATGTCTCGGTGCAAATTCGGCAGTATTAATGGATCTATTATCACGCGACAATGATGCAGATTTGACGTCAATCGAAGCCATAAGCAACGCAGCTCGACTCATCATCGACACGCTGCACGAAGAGACTTGTATGAGAAGAGCTTTGATTTTGGGCAACGTTAATACGTCTATGAAGGATGTTTTATTAGCAACGGAGCCCGATGAATTTCTTTTTGGTGGAAATCTACCAGAGCTTCTGAAACAGGCACAAGCCACAAATAAGGATGTACAGGTGCTGGCCAAGAAACCCGCACCTTCTGTAAACAAGTCAAAAAACTTCAAAGGCCCGCAGCGTCAGCAAAGCAGATCGCAGACGACATCATCGAGCGGGCCGCAGACGAGATCTGCAACGACGACGTCGAAACAACAGGAGTCGAGACACAAGAGCGATCATCAGAAAGCTCGTTACGATCAGAACAAGTCCTCGAAAAAATACTATCAGAAGAAATGATAGAATTGCCAGTAAGTAAAATCGCCGGCAGGTTGTCGCACTTTGTTAAAAATTGGAAACTGTTGACCTCCAATCACGTGATACTTTCATGGTTGAGAGGATTTAAAATTCAATTTACATCGCATCCTATTCAGATGGTTTTTAAACAGACATCATTCTCAACGGAAGAAATGCCTATTGTTTCCTCGTTGATTGACGATTTGATTCTCAAAGGAGCAATAAGAGAATGTTTGCCGGTCAAAGGTCAATTTTTATCGAATATTTTCACTGTGCCCAAACCAGATGGCACGTTTAGGTTAATATTGAATGTAAAAGCGTTAAACGAATTTATAAATGTTACGCACTTTAAAATGGAAAATTATAAAATTGCTATGAATTTAATGGAGCAGGGTTGTTTCATGTCAAAAATTGACTTGAAAGATGCGTATTACACGCTGCCAATTCACGATTCGCAAACAAAATTTTTACGTTTCAAATTTAACAATCGGCTCTACGAGTTCGTTTGTTTGGCATTCGGTTTAAACGTGGCTCCTTTAACCTTTACTAAGCTATTGAAACCAGCAGTTACATTCTTACGAGAATTGGGCGTCACATTGGTTATTTACCTGGACGATATTTTAATTTTTGGGAAAAATTATTCAGAATGTGCTAAAAATTACTTATGGACAAGCAAAACCTTGCGATTTCTAGGATTCGTTCTACACGATAAGAAATGTAAGCCTATCCCGGAACAGAAATGTATATTTTTGGGCTTTTTATTCGACTCGATTCGTATGGTAATGGAATTGCCTGAAAATAGGAAGATTCATATGAAAAAATTGATCGAAAGCTTCAGTAAGAAAGAGCGTTGTACGATACGTGAATTTGCCCAATTTACAGGTTCAATCGTTGCCTGTTGTCCAGCTATTGACTACAGCTGGTTATATACAAAAGAATTAGAGCAGATAAAATTAGCGGAATTGTGTAAATCCAACGGTAATTATGATTCTTCCATGTCGCTGAAAGGCATTGACTTACGGGCAGATTTATGGATTTCAAAAATTTTGAACGGTTATAGAAAAATTCGTTTTCAACAATACGATCGAGTCATATTTTCTGACGCGTCCTTGTCCGGTTGGGGTGCGTTCTGCAATAATAAACGCTGTAACGGATTTTGGACGCAAGCTGAACGTTGTTACAGCATAAACTATTTAGAAATCAAAGCAGCTTGGTTCGGGCTGAAATGCTTCGCGGACGAGATGCGTGATGTAAATATTTTATTACGTATCGATAACTCCACTGCTATAGCATACATTAATCGTATGGGAGGTACCCGTTACGATTATCTTAACGAACTCACACAAGAATTGTGGGAATGGTGTGAGGTCCGTGGCATTTATGTTTTCGCTTCGTACATTAAGTCAAAAGAGAATATAGAGGCTGACGAGGAATCGCGTAAGACGGAGACAGAAAACGAATACGAACTATCTGATGAAGCTTTCAGCCAGATAGTCGAATCGTTCGGTTTACCGGATGTAGACCTGTTCGCGAGCAGATCAAATAAAAAATGCGAACGTTTCATCTCCTGGAAAAGAGACCCCGAGGCAGAGGCAATCGACGCATTTACTTTGTCGTGGCATGACATTCGCTTCTACGCATTTCCTCCGTTCAGTGTAATTTTAAAAGTTCTTCGAAAAATCAGGCAAGACAAAGCTCTTGGCATTGTCATAGTTCCGTATTGGAGGGGTCAACCTTGGTTTCCAATTTTTCAATCACTTGCGATTTCGAATTTTATATATTTTTCACCAAGTAAAGAACTTTTAACATCTTCCAACAGAACGCCACATGCACTCTGGGAGTCGCTTACCCTGGTGGCAGCTCTATTATCCGGCAAGCGTTAAGTAAGCAAGGAGTTCCCGACGAAGCAATTGAAACTAGCATGGCATCTATTGGAGTTTCAACTATAAAGTCGTACGACGCTGCATTAAAGAAGTGGTGGATATTTGTTCATCAAATCAAGGGAGATGTCTATGAACCAACAACGAAACAGATTATGGAATTCCTTCAACAGCAATTCGATCGAGGGTTGTCCCATAGCTCATTAAACATCATGAGATCGGCCATATCCCTCATTATCAATTCCGACATCGGCAATGATAAAAGCTTGAAGCGCTTCTTTTCCGGCATCGCGAAGCTCCGACCATCGCTTCCAAAATACAATACTACCTGGGATCCGAAAGTCATTATAGACTTTTACAGTGGCAAGCCGGCTAATGACTCGCTTACATTTAAGGATTTATCATATAAGTTGATTACTTTATTAGCTATTACTACTGGTCATCGGCTACAGACACTTTCACTCATTAAAGTGCAAAATATTAAATTTTATGAAAATAAAATAGAAATACTCATTCCTGACTGGATAAAAACAACGAGAAAAAATGTCTGTCAGCCGGTACTAATTTTACCTGTTTATCCTCCGAACGATAAAATTTGTCCGGCAACTACTCTCAAACATTACCTAGAAAGAACTAAAAGTATAAGAGGCTCGATCGATTTATTATTTTTGTCAATCAATAAGCCAGTTAAGGCTGTATGTAAACAGTCTCTTAGTAGCTGGGTGAAACAAACTCTTACAGATTGTAATGTTGACACTTCCACCTTTTCAGCTCATAGCACACGCCATGCTGCAAACTCAGCTGCTAAGAGACTGGGTGTGAACATAGATTCAATTTTACAAACTGCTGGGTGGTCAAATGTTGCCACATTCGCGAAATTTTATGATCGGCCAGTAATTAATGATAATTCGGAGTTCGCACTTTCAATTCTTAATAATTAAAATAACTAATAAATAAGATATTCTCATTTTATTGAATTTATCGTATTGAATGTAATACGCGAGAGAATAAATGTTTATTTGCATCTACTTTGATTGCCGTAGATTCCGTCTTTGAACATCTACATTTTGATCTTTTGGAGGAGGCGCGAAATACAATTGAACAATCGAACGAACTCCAAGAGTGAAGTTCGATTACGATTGTATGAGCGCCTCCTCCAAAAGATCAAGGTCCCACCCAATACTTACCCTTATTCATTGGAATAAGCCCCCTTTGAATCTACGGCTCATCTTTGGTATAATGACGAAATCCCACAGTCACCGCAGCGCGCCACCAGCGGCACCGCGAGCGGACGTTGGGATTCTTTACTTTTCATGTCTTTGTAAGTGTGGTCTAAAGTCACGAGAGGGAGTACTACATTTTGATCTTTTGGAGGAGGCGCTCATACAATCGTAATCGAACTTCACTCTTGGAGTTCGTTCGATTGTTCAATTATACAATAATATGAGCTGTATTTTTAACTAATTAATTACTAACAAGGAGACCTTCTCACCTTCGGGTCATGGATTTAGCCCAAACTTTTTTTGGTGATTCAGGACAGTTAGAAAACATGCCCTGTTATGTTAGTTTATGTGAATATGCCCCAGAAGCCTTAGATAAAAAATAAAGGTCCAAATAATAAAAATAAGCGTATATAGTGCAATAAATATTCATTTCCTATCCTCAAACTATTTTTGTCACTTATTTTAAACACCTGGTTTTTGAAAACATTACATTTCATTGTTAAGAAGTTGTTGGATCTCACTCATGACACAAAACATTGCAATATTGCTTAATTTATGACATTATAAAGCGCTTAATTTCAATACGTATGGCCTTAAACGCTTCAAATAATTATTATTTTAATACAAGAAGCACTGGAGATCCGACAAGTTCCTATCAAAACACTTTTTACTAACTAATTTAACACTTTAAGTACCTAAACAGAACCAGGTGTTTAAAATAAGTGACAAAAATAGTTTGAGGATAGAAAATGAATATTTATTGCACTATATAAGCTTATTTGTATTATTTGGCCCTTTATTTTTTATCTAAGGCTTCTGGGGCATATTCACATAAACTAACATAACAGAGCATGTTTTCTAACTGTCCTGAACACCAAAAAAAGTTTGGGCAAAATCCATGACCCGAAGGTGAGAAGGTCTCCTTGTAAGTAAAAATGATTACTCACGAGTACCGGAAAATAACATCGATGGTTGAAGGCATCACTGATCAGATAGGATACGTGAATTTTTCAGTCGACTAACAATACAAAAACTTTCATAAACTATTTTTGTGAAACTTATGACTTATGTATTTAAAAATTTAGATTTGACTGATTGCATTAGTAATATTTAAAATAAAATTTCTAAAAATAATTTCAATTCTACATTACATGTAAAAATATAGTTATTCTTTAATATTATATTATTCAAATAATACAATACAATGTTTTGTATTATTTTCGTCTACATTCTCGTACACAACAAAAAAATATGAGTATTTTACTTCTGCAGTTGATATTTTTGAGCTTACTTAAAGTCCAGATTTGAAACAAGGACAAGTATGCATCAAAAAGAAAAACGAATTAAAGGAAAGCAGACAAGAATTGCTTTTTGACACAGCATAGTATGGTTGTGTTATAATAAAAAATCCATAAGACGTCTTTGCAAGCTGACATTTTCGTACGTTTGTTCATGTTCACAAAGACTGTCTGTCTTTTTCCCTGGGGCATCTTTTCTCCTCTGTTTTCCTCACTCGTTCGTTTCACGCGCTGATGTGGTTTATTTCGTTGGATGAGCGTAACAAATAAGGTAATATTCCGTGCATTCATACACTTCACTCATACAAATACACGTACATAGTATACAAGACTGAAACGTTGAGGTCGAGTGCCACATTGACTCGCAAGCAGCCTTCAGTGTATGTGTGTATTTTTTCATTCTTGTATATTATATATACATCCACGCACACGTGAAAGAAAAAGAATAGGGAGAGGAAAAGAGAGAGAGAGAGAGAGAGAGAGAGAGAGAGAGAAGGAGAGCGACAAACATAAAGTTAAGCAAGTAGGCGAGGTAACGTGCGTATGAAAGAGTCAAGTTTTTCTTCTCTTTTCCTTTTCGCACAAGGTAGCGTATACAGTAGCAACGAACGCCAGAGAATTTTGAGTAAAAAAGAAAACAGCAGTTGGAAGGAAAATAAAGAGTGTGTGTACATAGATACGCGTGGTGGTAAGTATTTTCAGAGAAATGAAAGTAAGCGAGAGAGAGAGAGAGAGAGAGAGAGAGAGAGAAAGAGAGAGAAAGAGAGAGAAAGAGAGAGAAAGAAAGGGTGGAAGGAGGAAAGAGAGAAAATACTCAGAAGTGAGAAAGTGCGTTTTCGCGCGTATATACATTACAGAGCATTTACGAAAAGCACATTGTAGCCTTTTTGGATGACATTTCTATATACCGTACAGAAAGAGAAAGAAAGAGAAGAGAAAGAGAGAATAAGAGGGGAAGAGTCAGTAATAACACACATGCATGCGCCAAGGAGACAAACACATGTTTACATTCGTTTTCAGGGTGGAAGAGGAAGCGGAAAAAAGTAAGAAATTGCTCATCGTGTATAACAACGCGTTTGCGCAGTGCCATACACGTACGTGGCTAGAAAGTTCCTCTCGTAAAGCAGCACGTGCAATGTCGCTCACACTCACATTCACGTAGACACACATCCTGCCGATAACACATATAAGCTCGCACTAAGTTTTTCTGGAGGTGAGAATTGCTTCGTTACGATTTTATAGTGAGCTGAGTAAGAACTCAGTGAAAAGTTTGCTCGTTCTGGGAATTGTTCCCTTGTTTCCAAAAAATTTTTGTTTCAGTCTTACAAAAAGACTTTTAACATTTTTTACTGTATAGATTTTTAAATGATGGCTTGAAAATGGTATTAGTTAAAAATTGGATAAGATTGGTGTATAACTAGTGTATCAAATAGTGCCGAAAATTGTCTCTTTAGAATCGAAGCAATGTTATTAAGTGATTTTACTTTTTATAATGTAACGGTAAACATTATCATTCTGTACGATTCAATTCTGTAGATACTGTGCAATATAAATAACACGACAATTTTTTAAATACAATTTATAAATAACTGTAAATAAAACAATATTCATATAGCTGCATCTATTTAATTTGATTTATTGTGATTAAGAACTATAAACGATTAAGAGTTTTAACGTAATCGTATATCCCTAAAAAGTATCTCATAAAAACTTCAATAATCTCATCAAAAGCTGTATAATAGAAATATACCGTCGTTAAGATTATTTCTAATTTAGCGTATTATATCATTGGTCACCTATTTAATCAAATCGTACATGAATTTCAATAAAATTTATTAATACTTGAAAATTTTTTGACAGGCTTAAATATGAAAAAAGGCAGACTAAGGTCAAATAAAAAAAAATTATTCATGTCAGCCAGTGCTTTTGCCTTCAATGCGATTTGTTTATATACTAGACCTTACACTCGTATGCCCGAGTAACATTGCGAGCAAACCGATAAATAATCATTGAACAAACAATCCACACGTGCACTGGTGCGTGTACAAAGCAGCAGAGGTGAAACTGAATGTAATCGCAAAATGAAACGAGTTCAGTTTTGTTTCCGCACCCCTCGCGCAGCTGGAAATCTCTGAGTTCAACGGGCGAATGTGGATCGTATTCATCACGTGCTGGTAATTCAAAATGCCTTGTACAACAATTTTTGCGTTTGACTGCCACTTATGCGATCCAATTTAGTTTCCGAATTAGCTATTTAATTCAAAACAAATATGCAAAAAAAATACATGATTTAATGATAGAATTAAAAACTGGTGTTATGCTTCATGCAATTGGGCATATTTAAGAGCAGTTTGACAGTTTCTTTCGAAGTAACTGAACTAGTCGGTGGCAAATCATTTCGAGTCTCCAAGATTCTGTCCAAATATGCTTCGTCCTCTACTTATTTGAACAAAACAATGCATAAAACTTTTAATTTACTAATATTCATTTCAAATTTTGTGAAATTTTATTTGTGTGAGAAATAAATATCTACTTAAGTATACCATGTGGTCGATTATTGTGTTCATTTTATAGTGCATTTTTTTGCCACCACAGACATAACATTAACACTATTGAAACTGTATTTTAGAGCGAAATTTGATGTTCAACCCATTTTATATTCATTTAAACGCAGAAGTAAAGTATTGTAATGATATATACCCGCGTAAAAATCAGAAGAATTGGCCATATATGTGCAATATAGTGGCGATTTATATTTGCAATATATGGGCGAATCATTCGCCGATATATTGCAAGTATAGTGGCAAATATACACACGCCACTATATTGCGGATATATTGCTAATGGAAATAAAATTTTTCTAGCAATATGTTCCCCATATATTGCCACCTGAAAGAGTTTTTTTTTTAATTCATGTGTGTGTTGATAATTTTTTTTTTTCATTATAATAATAATAATTATTTTTTTTTATAAATATGATTGTAAATTTATTATTATTATTTTTTTTGATATAATAAATCTCGTGAATTGAATTGAATGAAAACATCAAAATATATAACAATTTTTTTACATTATTTTACATTTTCATAAAAATTATTTCATCGGCACTTCGTTGTGGCTTCATGGGTGCTAGTCAAACTCTGGATCTGGGAAGCTCTGGAGGAGGTTGATCGGGAACTAGGAAGCGGAGAAAGAGATTTTCTAAATTTTTTATATCTTTCTCTTGCCGACGTGGACATGATCGGATCCTGTCCAGCTGACGGGTCGACGGCCTGGCACAGATACACGGACCTGTAAAAAGAAGAAATAAAATATTTTCAATTAAACTTTTCAGTTGACAACATTACACGAGGGTGCGCACACAACCACACATATATCAATCGGATAATAATATTGTATTATTATAATATATAAAATGAT